CTCCACAGCCTCCCTGGGCAGCCTGTGCCAGGGCTCTGGCACCCTCACACCAAACAAGTTCTTCCTCACATGCACATGGAGCTGCCTGGGTTTCAACTTGGACCCACTGCCCCTTGTCCTGTCACTGGCCACCACTGAGAAGAGTTTGGCCCTCAAAATTCCTTAAAGTAGAATTTAAAGTTTCCTTAAACTAGAACTTGCTGATCATTGCTGACCATTCTGATCTTTTTTTTTTTTTTTTTTTTTCTTTTCTTAATAGAAACCAATAGATATCTTTTGTGTTAGAAGACTGTTAAGCAGAAGCCTGGCAAACCTAGAGACAATATTTTACGTACAGTAAAGAAATGGATGTGAAATGCTCTTCTAAGCCAGCAGAGGGACTTCTGCAACGCAGGCTGCTTGAAGCCTTTTATCCTTTTGTGCTCAGTGCACATGTGCGTGCCCCAGGACACAGGCATTGGAGTCCCCCAGCATTATGTAATCCCTCGCTACCGTGGGATGAACCCAGGAGGATGACAGGGACAGGGGACACCAGCGCCGTCAACAACCTCAGTTCTAAGATAACTCTTGTTTACCCCTCAATTTAACTTGTGTCAGTTCATGCTTAATCCAAGTTTGATTTTTACAACCAGTTCTTTCAAAATGCCCTCACCATTTATCACAACAACCTTCTTTCCAAGTCAGGGTGCCTTCAATTGCTGGCCCCCCATACACTAGATAATTTATAAATGTTTTCCATCAGAGATCAGCCACTTAATTCCCCTCCATTTGTAAGGAAAAAAAAATCTTTTTTCTTTTTAATATAGGAGTGATCACTGTAATGCTCAATGCCTGTACATCATAAAAATACTAATATCCACCAATATCAGCTAGTTAATCCTCACAAATCCTTCACCAATAAACAAATATGAAAATAAGGCATACAGGAGTTAAATGTCAATAGTTACACAATTTGCCTATATTTGATCAGAATCAAAATGTAGATTTCCTTAGTTCAGACTTATGGTTAACTGCTAAACATACTCAGCAATTACATAAATCATTTTTTATTAAAAATGATTGGCCTTGACAAACTCAGTTGCAAATCTGAGATCTTCATAAAGAGCTTAAGTATTTTGAAAAAACAGTAACCTGCCCTTTCCCTGAGGTACTCCTCTGTCTTGTATCCCTCTGTGAATGTCAGCTGTGTCCATTTCACACAAAAAGTGTCCTTTTAATCTTTGTAAATCTAATTTTGCAGACTTGGATGTAATTAAGAGAACCAGTATCAATATTCTATAATAGCCACAGCATACAAAAATAAATAGCCTCTGTGCCACAATCCATGAGATTCAGGATGGACCACTTCCAAACACATTTCACCTGCCACAGGTTATTTGCACATTAAGATAGATAGATAGATAGATAGATAAATAGATATATAGATAGATAGAATCGTTAGGTGCATAAAGGAAAGAATCTGAGTATTGTCGTATCTGCCATAGAGACAATGAGACTTTGCCAATCAACTGCAATCAAGTCCACACTTTCGAAAAATATCATTGTAATAAATGACAACTTAGCACATTGACAATAACAGACTGACAACTTAAAGGGAAGACTTACATGGAGGAAAAGCTTTCACCACGTTCTGCTGCTTTCATGAAGCTGTGTCCATGCCACACATTAGTAAATTAACACGAATACCCTCTACAGTCACTTGAAAACTCCCCTTATCATCTTTGTTCCTTTCTTCTCTACTAAGTGAGGTGGATTTTTCCTTCACAGTTTCAGTGAACCCTGGCTGCAGCTTCTAAGAGGCTCATTATCTCTCCCATCACACCAGTTTCTGCTTTCAAGGCTTATTGTTTATTTCTTAATAGAAACCGAGAGACTAAAACCCCTTCAAAACACCCAAGGTGCCTTTGCCACTAAATAGCAAGCAAAGCATCATGCCTGCTGTAAGCCTTATTTAATCAAAAAATCATATATTACATGAACATTGGGACCCTCAGAAGCACAATTGCCCTAATTTCTTTCTTAGATGAAGGAACACTTGACACAATATTAAAATGGGCTGTCATTTTGAGTCATGATTACGGGTCTGATTTTCTTATGCAAAATATATTTTAGTAATGTGCACGAGTCTTTTAGGCATTGTTTCCAGTAGGACTCAGAAGCAGTGCAATAGCTTCCAGTTGGCTTGGTGAAGAATTTTAACACATATGGACTAGGCTATCCAAACACAACCTTCCTAACAAGCAGTCAGATCCTGGGTTGCATAAACTGGCATTGCTCTTTAGCTTCTGCTTTGGCAAGAAGCTCTTGAAGAAACTCACCGAGCTACAACGATATTAACTATGGGATTATTTGCACGGGAGTCCGAGGGAGCTTTCCCTTCAAATCTCGCTGAAATTCAGTGGGATTATAGGGACTGAGTCCCTAAAAGGCAATCAAAAATTCACCTTCTAAGGGTGTTTATGTGCATGAGGGTGTGTATGGGTGAATGTGTATATACATATATGTATGTGCACATCTATACATATATGTTTATGGCTCTGTGTGTCCATACAGCCGCACACACGCATGCAGTGCTGTGTAGGCCCATACATGTACACGCCAACAGCACGAGACTGGGATGCTCTGAGCTTGACAGAAGGCATTCCCGTCACGCTGGAGTGAAACCTGCTCTCTCAATTGCTACTCTCAGCAGTTAGTTCTGTCAAACTAATAATACACATCTGCACAGCAAAATGATACAACTTCAGCATTAGCATACAAAATAAAGGTAAGTATAGGTTTCCCATGTCTTTATCTTTTGAATTTTCTCTCTATTGGAGAAACTTGCCAAACCCAAATACTTACATTTCTTTCTGTGTGGCATTTTTGTTCTTGATACAAAGAAAAAATATGTCTCTGTCTAAGATACAAGAGATTTTACCTCTTCAGTTTGATTTGTGATTCCTAACAATACACAATAAACATAAATACAGCAGACTATTTAGACCTGCAAGCATTATATGGCCTATGGTTGAAGAGAGTCCAGCTGCCTCAATTAAATAAAGTTGCTGTAAGAGCAATTTTCAGGTCAGTGATAAGTCACAGTGTAATACAATCATGCACCGAGCTTAAAACAAATGTAAGACTGGCACAAATATTATAGTACAACTGGGCAGAAGTCAAAGGTATGTACAAGTCATTTGCAAACAGTGATGCAAGTGCTTTAGACAAAACATTTAAAAGAAGTCTACATTGAAACATAAATTTATCAAAGTTTGATAAATTTTAACGACAGTAAAAAAGTACACAGGACATGAAAAAAATAAAAAAACTCAGTCAATTCATACAATACAGTTTTACTACATTTATATTACAGAATGAGGACTGAAAGGGATATAAGAAATTAAGAGCAAAGAAAGTTCTCCTGACCACGGCCAGAGGGATTTCATTGCCAATGAGAGATGCGCACAAATGCACGCACACGCACAGAAAATAAAGACAAAAAAGGACAAAAAAGAATAATTTACTGTAACAAATGGCAGACAGAGAGGTGAGAAACGTTTGGCATGTTGCAGCACATGGAGTCATTCCCGATCGGCTAACGATGGTACCTGGCTGGGCTGGAGGTCACCGGCCTGCCGGAGCGGCGCCACGGACGGGGGAGGCACTCCTGATGTGGACGCCGAGCGACCTAATCTGCAGCTTGACTTGGGCTCTGGGAAGGAACAGAGGAGGACAGCAGTGAGCAGGAGGCAGGTTGGCGATGCCTAGGGTGGACCTTGGACCAGGCACTTCCTGGTACCTGATGGACAATCCAAGGTGTTGGGCACAGGATGCCCTCCAGCAGCACGCTGGAGGAGGTGCCTTCCACCTCACTGAGGCTTTCTCTTTATCACCTTGGCTGCCTATTTGCCTGAGATGATGTTCCAGAATTCAGGTGAGTGCGTGGAAGAGCCGCCCACTTAAGCTGGAGCACTCAGACCAATGAAAGCATCTGTATGGGTGAATATTCATCAACTACATGTTAATAGGTTGGCTAACATCCAGCTGGCTAAGCAGAAAAAATATTTATGCTTTTTGATTCAATTATTCAATTTACTCGTCCCTAGTCAGTCTGCAAACACAACACGAATCAACACGGCAATAAGCATAAAGAAAAAACAGACCGATCCCCCCATAACCCTGCATTTTGCACAGATCTGCTGTTTTGATTCTTTTTGGACTTGGGAAGTTATTCCGAAGGTTTGATTAGATTTGTTTTTGTTCTGATTTCACACAGACTGTGTGCCAGACTTCAGTAATAGATAACAGTTTCCTTCAGTAATAGATAACAGATCTCATGTCTGTTCCCTCCTGAAATTTTATTGTGGATTCATGAGGGCAAAAACTGTGGAATTTTTTGGTTGTTTTCCCCTACTGCTAAGTAGAAACACGGTGTTTTTGCTGTGACAAGCAAAACTCAGCACCCAGCACGTCAAAAACTCCTAGGGAGTTGTCTGCCATTGCCTTGGAGTTGTTTTCTTTGCTTTGAGAAAGCAGAGTGTCATAATTTCCACTTTGGATATATGTGCAGCAACAAGAGATTACCGCTTCCTTGCCAAAGCCAGTCCTTTCATCTAGCATCAAAGAAATAAAATCTATCACACTCAGATGAAGTATTAGCTGCTTCTTTATCTCCATGTAATATATTTTACAGTATTAAGAAAACTATTGCCATATCCATGGTGATCTTTACCAAGAGAGAGGTTCCACACAAGGCTCCATCTAGGTTTTTGGAAGTTTGAGGCTGCATTATGCACTAAAAGGGGAAATGCTCTTCTTTTTAAAATGCATTCTGGTGGTTCCAGTGGAAGTATTTTTCAACTGAAAAAATACTCCATTCTCCTTCAGCTTGTGCTGTGAATAACAGCTTCCTACTGCAGCAGAGTCCCTAAACGGTCTGTCGCATAAATGATGCCCAATTCTTTTCCCTGTATTCTGCCACATGCCGTTTTTCCCATAAACTTTATTCAGCATACTGAAGCCAAATGGATTTTGAGTGCAACGATCACCTGAAATCCAAACTTCTTCTTTTGGCTGTCTGAAAAGAAGGGAAGCAAGGGATGGTTTCCACTGAAAGGATCACGTGGGGCATACTGAGACACCTCAGTATGAGCATCTGGGCAGCCTTGAACCTTCTTGAGAGGTCCCTGTGTGGCAGGTTGTGTGGTGCAGAGCAGGGGAATGTGCCAGCCAGCTCATCAAGCACACAGGGAAGGCTCGGTAAATATTTGCCCTCTCAGGAGGATCCGTTTGCTTAAGGTCAGTGACAATACAAGCTGAGACCCACACAATAAGGTAGCAGAGCACCACACGTCTGCGCTGCGCTTTGCTTTACTGCGTGTCTTCTGGTTCTTAATAAAAATTGCCAGGGAGAGGACACTGAGGGCTCCCCTCTGAAAACAAGACCTGCTCTGAATTCACAACCAGGAGCTTTTTGACATTGCTGTGAGGCACTCAACCACCAGCCAGGGCTAAGAGCTTACTGCCGAGTGCCAAACTCACAGGCACACGTGTAAGTGCTTCCCTGGCCCCGGGCCAGCGGCTGCAGAGTGGCCATTAGCAGAGCCTGCTGCAATCAACGGGCAGCACGAGGCCTGAGCGCGGCAGAGAGCGCTGCGTCGGAGACCTCACCTGGACATGCCAAGAGATTCAGTGCTGCAGAGATTCAGCCGCTGTATTTAGCTGCTGAAATGCTTGTAGCATTATCTTGCAGAGCTTCAAGCGACAAATCCATCACACTGTGCCTGGCCTGGGGACACTCGTGTCTCGCTGGGGCCGGGCCCACCTGCAGGAGCCAGGTCTGGGTGCGCAGTAGCGCTCGCAGCGGGGCCCTGTCCCCTGTGACGTGACCCCCAGCACCGCGAGGCTCCCACCAGCCCTGCGCTAAACCTGCCACCGCCGTCACCCAAAACGGGACTCCCATTGCTGGCCTTCCAGGCTTGAGGTGAGGCCAGCTGGTGCCAGCAGGACCACACGTGGCTACCAAGGAACAGCCCTGAAGGACGGCGTGAGGGATGACAAACCAAGGAACAGCCCCGAAGGACAGTGTCAGGGACGGCAACCTCAGCAGAAAACACCCAACACAGAAATACAGACTTTCCACTTACAAATAGGATTGCCTAAAATTAGCTACCTAATTCTGCATGTAAGCACCCACATAAATGACCTGTCTTTCCAAAGTGTTAGCAAATGCTGTCATCTTATGTGTAGACATGTAGGGTGATCGGTTGCAGGGGTTTTTTGGGGGGTGTCTGTGACTTTTTCTTAAAGCAGAATGCTAAGATGAGACATGATTTTTTGGAGATATTTTTCATCAGTTTTATACCATTGTGATACATTTTCCTATATTCTCTAGAAATACAACAGCTCTCCACAATTTTTATTTTTGGATCTAAACTGGAAGAGTTATTTTATTCATCCAAGGGAGACTTCACTCTGCCTGTCCTAATCTTAATTCAAAAAAATACTCTGCCTGTCACTTACATTGGAGAAGCTTCTTATCCTGTCACAGTCTCTTCTTTGCACATGAAAAGAGAAATATTGCTTATTTGCTACAGCTGCCAAGAAGCACGTTTTGAATTAAACAAGGTGATGTGACAGGCTATGGAGTAATCACATGCAAAAAAAATGTAAAAGGAAAAAGAAAACAAGCATAGTGGGAAAATGAATCCCCACCTATTATCTTCATACTAGCTTAGCCATATTGGTCTCCCCAAAAAGATGAGTAAGCTGTAACAAAACTTGAATATACAAAATTTTAAGGTAGAAGAAAGTATGTGCTAACACTTTGCTGATTATATTTTTTTGGACTTCACCTGCAGAAGTTGCTCAGTTAATTGATGCTAAACTGAACTATTTTCCAAAAGGAAGCACTAAAAGCTATGTAACTCAGTGTAGCAGAAATTAAAAAGGCCAAAAGCCTAGTAAGACTCAAAAACAAGTCAGATAAAAAACCCCACATGCATTAGATGGGATATATTTTAAATTAAGGCTTGTTTTAAACTGCTGTGTTTCAGGTCCATGACAACACCTTAGGCAACGAAGTCGGGAATAAACAAGACCTATTGGTAATGCTCGATGCTTTCTCTTTTTCTTTTTTCTTTTTTTCTTAAACTTTCTTTATTACTATTTTCCTCTGAAGCTTCCATCCTGGGATACAGTCGATCTTAGGGTTCTGGACCCGATGGACACTTTGGCAACGGCATTATTCCCAACGATGGCCACGCCACTGGTTTGGGGAGCAGCCGCCAGGCCCTGGGTAAGCCAACAGTGCAGCCCGTGCACAGCATTCCCGTGAGAGCATTCCCAGAGAGCTGCCGCCTGACTCCTCATTCCCTTCGCACTTCCACCACAGTTCCAACCACTAATTCCAGTGAAGGAAGGGCAGTTGCCTCCTCACCAATTATCTGCTAGGTTTCCAACTTGAATACTAAGTGGGTCGGCTGAGTGACAAGCTGGTGGAGATTTAAAAATAGGACACAACAGCTAAGCTGACTATATGAAATATTTAAGAGGCAGTGCAATGCTTGTCACTAGCAGCAGGTGGCAATGCAAAATGCTTCATGGTTACAACTAAAAAGAAAAAAAGCAGCATTCCAGAAAATACTGTTCAAAGCCCTGGCATGAAGCTATCCCAGCCTTCTGTTTCACAGAGCTCCTTTGGCTTTTCACTACAATTGCAGTGAGTTTCTTAACAGCCAGCTTGCCCCCCCAAAATATGACATCACTTTCTTTAAGAAACAATAGATATCAAGTGACAGAAAGGGTCCTTGATGAATTGCATGACAGATAAGAGGTCAGTGAGTCGCTAGGGACAGTGATGTCCCTGTGCACCTAACAAGCCAGGCTCATTTGAAAAAAAAAAAAAAAATGAAAAAGAAGTTGTCCCTCTGATCCTCCTTGCAGGTATGGAGATCTGGAGAACTCAAATAAAATCCGTGATCTCGCCCACATTGTCAGTTAGTCTCATTCTAACTCCTACTCTATCCTCTCAGCAGAACTGCCCATTCAACACACATAAGGAAAGTCTCTCCGGATTCTCCCTATATTACAGCAGAACAAATCAACCTTGTTTCCTCAAATTGCCCCAAGAGCAGCCTAACAAATGCCTGGATCCAACACAAACTGGGAGGGAGGCTGCAGACTGTGGTGTTTCAAGGACTTGCCCACACAAATAGAGGTTTTTTCTCTCTTACCTACGATACTGGAAAGAGAACAAAAAAATCACTATAATGGGGCTTGCCCTGCCCCAACTGTATTTGGCCCTGTGGCAAATCTGAGTCGCGAATTGCTAGCAAAGCCCCACTGCATCTCCTTGGCTCCAGAAAGCATTTCTCTCCATACATATGAAATCTCTGTTGTTGCATTCTGTTACAGCCCTAGTTTATCTGTGAAGAACGGTCGGCTATAGCTCATGTGCAACTTCGCTGATGTGAACTGTGTGTAGTGTTTTGAACACGGTGCCCCACCGGCTGAAGGCAAAACATGTTGCTCAGGCAACTGCTAGAGACACGGGGGAAAAGTATTTGGAGCAGATGAGAGGCAATATTCATCAAATGAAATGTCATAAAAACTGTGTGGAAAGAAAAATCATAATCAGTTCAGTTTTTCATCATAAAAAGGAGTCTAAATTCAGTCCATAAAATATTTCCGTAATTTTTCTTTCCTTACGAGTCTTTGAAAGTCCTAGCTTTATAAGACAAAGACACAGTCAACTAAATCAAGGCATGATTCAACAACTATTATAGTCTCTTGATGCCAAACAAACAGTATGGCCAACATGCTTTGTCTCATTTGGGAGACCGACCAACCCTTTAAAATAAAACTTACGCAGAAAGGTTGGACAGAAGAGATGCATTTTTCTAAGAACTCACCTCATACTCTCATTTCCCTTCCATTCTGTCCAGAATCTGGCCAAACTGAGAGGGGTGTTGGCCTTATCATCTGATGTCCTATTATTCCAGTCTGGTACATTTGAACCCTGTTTTATTGGCATTAGCATAGATGACTGTAGTGCTAAGAACAAAGTCTCTTTAGTGCAGGTTTTTAATATAGCTGTAGGCTGTATCTGCCAAATTGCTCCCTACCAAAATGCATTATGAGAACTCCCAAGTAAACAAAAGGAATTAACATCCAAATAATCTGGCGCTAAAGGCATGAGATTTGCAGAAAAGTCACTTTTGCTGCCCAGGGAGGATCAGCTGAAGGGACTTAAGCCAGAGACTGCAGAATAAAAGATTGAAGTGAAGGAGTTACTAGCAAAGTCTGTTCAAACTGAGTTTCTGGTGTCATTTCAAGCAGTGCAAGGAAAGAGAGAGACCCATTAACATTTTGAAGTGTATTTTTTTTTTTTCACAATCAAACCAATAAGGCAGGAAGTTTATCTTTTAAGTGACCTGTCAAATCTTGAAAAGCGGCACTCCACTGATTATCCCAGAGCCATACATTCCACAGGTGTAGTATATTCCTGTGTCAAGTGTGTTTGGCTTTACTATTTTATAAAACGTGGAACATTACGTTTCAGCAATTTACAACAATTCGCTATCTCAAATATACATATATATAACTCTGGTTACTGCACAGTGCCATTTTCTCAGGGCATGTGACACAGGAGCTTCTGAATGTCTTTCTGAGGTGCAACTGGGCACAGAGACTCTTTGCCACAGTGTCTCTCCTTAATGTTAGGCAGAATTCTTTATTTCTGGTAAAGCAGGTAAATGGCATATTTACATTACTTACCACGATTCCAAGTCTGTCCAAACACAGAGCACAAGCAGACAGCTTAATACTACAGGAAGTTAATGGGGAGATTCTGAGAGCTATTTGGGAGTCTAAATAATATATTTACTTTCACTTGCATATCTTTAGGGATCCTACAGCCCACAAGGATGCTGATAAGATATTCCCTACTCTCTACTTGAATGTACCTGAGCTGTTGCCTCCAGCCAGCATGGTTGGACTGACAGAGGATCTTCCCAGCCTGCTGGATACAACCGGTGGTCCCGGTGTGCCATCCCATTCCTGAGCTTTGACCAGCTCCCTGGAGGAAGCTGTCCCGTGGTGGCCTCCCCTCTCTTTGTTTTCCAGCTTTGGTAGTGGTTCAGTGCTGTGACTTCTGATTTTCAGCTCATCCAGCGGTTCTACAAAACACACAAGACCACATTTCATTACAGTCAGTCTCTAATTAGCTGTATCATATAGCAATCTTTCACTCAATGTTCCATATAAATTAATCATAAAGTCTTCTAAATGCAACTTATTTTACCTTCCGTTCCTAAAACCTATATTGAATGTTAATTTCAACACACTTGCAAATTACCAAAACCGAATAAGGTTTTAGGCTGATACAATGTGACTTCTTGTTACAATGTTTGCATGCTACAAAATTACTCTTTCTGAAAATGATACCCTATCAAGTTACATTTTAGTAACAATTTTGGAAAAAAATTAATTGTTTTCAGGTGTCATTTCTTTGGAAACAAGTTCTTCTCCGGGTACTTTCTAAGGAAGCTGTCTCCTAGAGCAATACTGCACAAGTAATACATTTGTACTTGTCATGAGCACTAATAAAAGGTACGCGACCCATAAAAATGTCCAGTGTTAATATTTCTGGTGTGCCCAGCGCCATGACCTAGAGGATAAAATTCCACTTGGTGGAAAAATCCTTGAAGTCAGAAAGTGATGTGCAATGCCACGAGTCAATATAAGAGGGAGAAATTTCAAGAAACAGGTGAATGATTTTTCAAGAGAAGCAGCGATCCCCGCTTTCTTCACGGCTGCCGATTTTCCATTCCTTTCTGACACTCTTATTTCATTTCTTGCAGGTTGAGCAACACACCACACAAACAATCTATTCCTGAACTTTTCCATCTGTTGCTGTGAAGAATCCACAAGAAAAGCCATATACCGAAGGCACATTAAGAAATTGCTTTAAGTCATAACAGCTAATTAGCATTCACACTGTCAGTTTAGTCATCCAGGTTTATAAGAGGTCTATTTTAACTCCAGCATATATCAACAGTGTGGGAATTTACGTGTCATACAGACGGAGAACCTTCCCTCCAGGCCTATCTTTCCGTGGCTGCAGAGACGTTGCCCAGCTGTGGGAGAGCCACGGGGAGGCCGGAGCGCTCGGAGCCCTTGGCAGGCTGGAGATGAGAGCAGCTCCACAGGGACCTGGCAGGACCGCGGTGCTCGAGCAAGCGGAGCTGCTGGAGACACAACCACCACACTGGCCTCAGCAACAGCTTCCTCTGCACATTAATCCCTGGGTCAAGAGCTGCCACTCAAATGATGCAGCCCCAGAGCAAGAGTCACCTTCACCTTGCTTCCACCCAACGTGGCTGAAAACCCACCCCCAGTCCGCCCTTGCTAAGTCTACCAGGGGTGCAGGTGATATTAGTTCTCTAAACAGCATGCAAGAGACCTTGTCTATGGGCAACAATCAAAAAACGGCATTTTGGAGTCTTTGACATTGCAGTCGGGAAAAGAACTTGTTTGTAAGAAACAAAGCAATCATTTGGAAGTTTCTTAAAGGAAGTATTATACATGGAAACACATAAAAATGTCTAACTGATCATGCAGACCAATATGCAATCATGAACATATTGCATGAATTATTATTAACTAATAATAAAAATAAAATTTAATAAGAATATTATATGCCAACCTCTAAGGTGTTTTTTGTTATTCACAGCGATAAGTTTCTGATTGAAACCTATACAATAATTCCAGCTGAGCAAGTCATATAAACAGTATTCAGCAAACACTCTGTGTGACAAAAATCCTCAAAAATCAAGCCGCTTCCTTGAACTTCTAGGTCACTTACCTACTTTAACGTATGCAAAAAGATACTGCAATGAAAACCCAAACTGCTTGTTTTTCTTATTTGGTGACCCCAGCAGGACACAAGGTCGAATAACAGTCTGCATCCACACAACAGGGCGCCTGCCTTTCAGGGGCCTTTGCTCTGAAACGTCTGCAACAGCTCCGGCTGTGACTGCTCACAGACGCGTGCTCGTACAAAGAGCCTTGCAGAGAAACGCAGAGGCCAAGTTAAAAAAAGATGCTCTCTCCCTTACGTTTCTTCTGGGCATTGATATATCAGAAAATACTGTCACTATACGTTTTCCAAATAACAGTTATGAGCAAATACATTTCAAATGTTTAAACCAGGAGCATGCACTTCTTCTAGATGCCACATATTCGGAAGAGATGGGCAGGGTTTCAGAGTTTTCCAGAGGTCCATATGACGGTCCCCCACTACCAGCTCCAGCCAGGCTTCAGCTCGTCCCTTCCAGCAAACCCAGCAGAAATGGAAAAGGGCAGAACAGGCTCTGAACAAAGAAGAGCCTGGCCTCCCGAACGCCCCATCAGCTTAATGCATCTTTCAATGGAATTAATTGGCCGTGTCATTCGGCCGCTGCTGTGGCCACCTGAGCGAGAGGCGGCCCCACGTGTGTCCCGCCGGGACGACCCTCGTCTCATGCACTGGCTTGTTATGTCCCAGCTCAGCGCGGAGCTGTAAGGAGTTTTCCCCTTCACTTTACCCATCAGAGAAGCACTTGCTGCCTGATAAAAATGATCTGTGCATTCTTGGGTTTATTATCAGCAGAATCAAAATGCAGCAGTTCTCTGAAAACAGCTGGAAACAATGGAAATATTCAGACTAAATAAAAACTTGGCTTATAGAGTGTTTCTTTATAAGGTGTAGAAAATCACTTTTCAGCTGGCTGTCTAGACTTCATAAATTTGCATTCCACTGCCCCTTCTTGGTGATTTTCTGTTTTCGGTTTATCTAAAAAGTAATATATCCTAAAAATGAAAAGCAGATTGAAGCAGATTATAATGTCATGCAGCCCATCACAGCACCCAAATCACTGTTATTTGCCGATCATTATCAGTAATGCTGACGCACAGTCAGAAAAACAAGTTAGCACTTTGTATAGTTTTTTGCAATACTTTCCTGCTCACTTCAGAATACATAAATAATGAAAAAAAAAGTCATTTTTAATACTTTACCTTTTCTCAAATATTTTTGGGGAAATTATTTTAATATAATTTTAGCTTCACTGATGTCTGTCATTGGGAAAAAATTCCTCGAGTTGGACTTAAGAATCACCATGCCAAGTTCTCGTTGGGTCACAAAGGCTTCTCAGTGCTCCCCTCCCAGGCCGTGGGGCTTTATGGAGCCATAACGTGAAGGAGAAGGTCCCTGGTTGGTTTTGTGCTGTCCTCCACAGCACCAATTACTACTTCCTACAGGGCACATCCACTGCGTGGCCCTTTCCCTCGTGCCATCGGTGCCAGGGGTTGGCAGAAAGCAGGACCCGCACCGAGCTCCTTTCCAGGGCCACCCACGAGGTGGGCACCTCTCACTGACCACATGTTCTTAACAGGGGAAACCCTGTAGAAAGGCTGGGATTGAAAAGGCCCCTTTATCGGCACCGATCCCACACTGGAAAGACGATCTCTAACCGGTCACATACATTTTGCTGAAAGGGCCCGGGATTTCCTGCCCCACTTCTCACTTGGCGAGCGCAGTGACGCAGCTGGGACCTGCGGCACCTCGTGCTGCTAAACCTCAGCGTGGAGCGGGGTTTAGGCGGCCGCGAAGCGCAGTGCCGGGCTGGGGCCGCGGGCTGATCCTCCTGCAGCCAAGCGCTGCCGCTCGGAGCTGACACCATTACGGAAAGCATCTTCATTGTGCAATAACTCGCAAGCCAAAATAATAGGACACAGAAATGTAAATTTCAAGAAATAATTCACTGTGTTAAATATTTATGGATACATAAATATCTGTAAATATCTAGTTGGTTAAGATTCCCATATAAAGGCATTCAAAGGTTTCAAGCTCTTCCAGGTGTCATCTTATTGCAATATTCAGGAACATGCTTTTTCCTCATTTATTTCATCCAAATTCCAGGCTTTTCTCTTTCAAGAAAAACATGGTAGCTAAAATCTGTTGAGCGAGAACATATTTTCTAAATAATTGACACGTACAAGCTCCCCTTTATGAAAGATCCATTACTGGCTGCACACCCTAGACAGTTGCATGTGAGCTGTGGTACTGGAAGACTTGTAAGTGCTCGGGAAAGCAGGAAAGCTAGTTAACCTGAAACTCAGGGTAGAGCGAGCTGAAAAATACAGCTTAGCAAAACATCTTACCCGAAAAACTATTATTCAAATGAATATATAGTCTGTAGCCAGTCTGCCACTGGGTTCCTAAATCTGAATTAATTTCAGGTCCTTGGTGCTTCTTATTGCAATGCTAAGTGGTAAACAGCACAATTTTTATTATTATTTGGGGGGTTTTAGAGAAGAGAGAAAAGCAATTGTCTGTTGGAACTGCAAACATGGGCCGTTCTGCAGCATCCTGCTCAGCTGCGAGCTGCGGTGTGGAAGCTAATCAGCCATGCATTATTCATTTATTCTTTTTCTGTGTGTTTGTTATAAACCTAAATAAATAATATATCACTCCAGGCGAAACTTTCCTACTTTGGGAAGTAAATGGAGCGACTTGCAGGGTCTAAAGTCAAGCCTATGCGTACACCTGCCATACACCAATGGTATGGCATGGGCTTGCCTGCCGCATCCAGCCCACAGCCACCAAGGGCCCCTGAGCACCTGGGGAGCAGCAGCAAGTCCTCGAGGATCACAGTCCATCTCTGTGCACACCGGGGACACTTTATTTACCTTTATCGCACATTTCCAGAGTTGAGCTGCTTCTTAATGCCATTCTTGATCTGTGATGACCGATCTTTGGCTGATCCAAGCAGCTATAAAAATACCATGAGCCCTCCCAAAGAAACAAATAGGCTATTAATACTGCATGCAAGAAACACGGTACCTCTCAGCGTGCAAGATATTTTTTCCCCCCAAAATACAATATTTTATATTGTCTATGAAAGCGATTTTCTCATCTCTATTAATGATGGTGGCTCGTCTATTCTGACTTCATCTCATTGCTAATTAAGCAGAAGTTTGCATATCAATTTTTAATACTCCTTCTTCACAGTTAAGTGAGAGTTGCAGCAGCCGGCTTGTTCAATTAGCAGCAGCGCTGACCTAGTTCCATGCAAAATCAATAGGAAGCCTGGAAGAGTCTCACAAACCGCTAACACTTCAGGAGACCCGGCGG